GAGTTACATCCTTTTATAATAAACTGTTAAACTAGGAAATAAACTGTTTTTTGTTCTGTGAGCCGTTCTAGCAAATGAATTGAGCCCAAGGAGGTGGGTCTTAAGAACCTCTGATTTATAGGCCGTCAGTCCGAAGCACATGTTACAGCCGGGGCTGTGGCTAATGTCTGAAGGTGGTGGGGGACAGTCTTGTAGGACTGAACCTTAACCTGTGGCATCTGACACTGTCTCTGGATAGATGGTGTCAGAATTGAATGGAGTTACATGACGCCCAGCTGGCATCCTGAGAATTGCTTGTTGGTATGGGGAACCCCCCCATCTCCCACATTGGAATTGGTACCAGAGCTTATTTATTTCTCAAAGGCCCCATCTCCAACACTGTCACATTGGGGATTAGGGCTTTAATTTTTGACTCTGGGAGAGACACATTGAGTGCATAGCACCGGTTGAAGAACCTTGGCTTGGATAGTTCCTTCCGCAAAGCTTCCCGATGAGCTGTCTTGCTGCTTCCTCACGGGGAGTCTGTGCTGCCTTTTCTGTGTATTCACAGCCCCAGATACGAAACCCCTGCTAGCACTTACTCTTGATTTCATTTTCTAGTACACTGGACCCGAAGTCCGCAGCTCTTTTCTGTAAAGGGCCAGATTGTAAGTATTTTAGGCTTTGCCGTCCATATGGTCTCTGTCAAAGCTACTCAATTCAGTCTGACATGATATATAAGTATATGGGTGTGCCTGTGTTTCAGTAAGATTTTTATGGATGCTAAAATTGGTTTCATAAAACTTTCACATGGCATGAAATACTCTACTTTTTAAGTTTTCAACCATTAAAAAAAGAAAACCCATTCTCAGCAAGTGGCTGTACAAAAACTGACCATGGGCCAGATTTGGCAAGAAGGATACTTGTCCAAGTCTGTTAGATTACATGTTTCTCAAGGGCAGAAATTGTCAGTTTGGTTTCTTTTCCTTATATATAGTGACGGTGTCAGCGACATTGGTGTAAAATAAATGTGGGCAGGATAAATGTTTGAGTCTGTAAGTGCTTTATATCCACACATGCTTTCTCTCTGTTCCTCCAAAATTTGAATTGAGCAGCAGATGAATTCCCAGTGGGAGAATTTTAGTCAAACCCAGGCTTGTGGTCTCATATTTTAGCACAGTTTTATGGCTCATTCCTCTATAACTGTGTTGTCCCCTAAGTGAAGGCCAACTTTTGCCTGTGTTGAAGGTGTTCGTAATGTACTCCTGCATTTAGAGATTCCCAGAGTAATAGGAACTTGCATATTTTCCACGGAGTTCAGTCTGGCCTTAACCTGAAAAATAAATGTTTCAACAGAGAACTTTAGATACGTACTTGAACAAAAAGGAAAATCCCTTCCCAGCACTTCCTCTGCTTTACTCTCTTCAGACTTCT